CACTCAGACTGTTTACAGGCATTTTTTCCCTCATCTGACCTGTCACAAGTATGCTCACTTCTTAAGCTTTAGCTGAAAGACTGCTTCATCGCCTGTCCTGGGACAGGCTGAACCTCCCCTGCAAATTTCACTGACAATTCCTGATGGCTTGGAAGGGAAAGATTTCCAAAGTAAATTGGTGCCCAGTGGGCAGATAGGTACCTAACATGGTTTTTGGCTATTTTAAATAGTGCTGTCTCTTTGAAAATTTGTCCCAGGTAGAACAGTGCTTTGGAGGATTAAACCTTTACTTGCAGAATAATTTAGCTGTCTTCTGGTGTTTAGCATTTCCTGTACTAAGTTTCTTTTCTGCTATATCTGTCTTCTGCTCCTGGCAGTGTTTGATAGTGAAACAGTTATACAAAAGCATCTTTTTGGGGTTCTGCAGATATGATCATTGTATGTGAGGCAGCTGCCTTACCGGCAAAAGCAAGACTTTGCACCTGACTGAAGAGTCAGTTTGATTTGGGGGAAATAAGTAGGATGTGGTTGTGACTAACAAACATCCTTGCCAAAACTGTCACTGAGGCTGTGTCTTTAGAGTCCTTCTAGCCTACGTTCTGTCCCTGAAAGCCATAAGAGGGCTGCTGAGCCCCAGTCTGGTGCCACGGCCAGGCACCTCCCAGAGTTTTAGGATGAGTGTTCGGGGCTGGAATCCAGAGGAATCATCTCTGAGTCAGCTGAGCCTGGGTGGTATTGATGGGGCAACAGCAGGGAGAGCAGATCGGGCTGTAGAAATTCTTTTAAAATTGAGTTTAAGGTCACATTCACAGAGCTAAAAAGATGGCAAAAAGCTGATGGAACCAATGTCTGCCAGTGATCTCAAATGCAGTCAAAGCTGAAATGTAGCGAAGCTTGTTGGTTTCATGAGAAATCTGATTTCAGAGAAGAATCATAGCATTTTGTTTGTTGGAAAATCATATCTTTTACTACTTTCTCAGGGCAGGATGAAAATAATTTTGATATTGTATTATATTAAACACCATATTATAAAATTCTGAAAGGTGAAATCAAGGATATATTTCTTTTTGTTTGAACCATGTTGAAATTTCTTCCAGAGCTTCCTTTTGCAGCGGATTTTTACTTTGTCACACTTCATTCAAAGCTGCAATAAGGACAAACAGAGAAAGCTCCAAGGTCTTAAAAAATAAAAATTTCTGTCCTTGTCAGAGCTCTAGGAGTCCCTGGAGCTGGGACCGATAAACTCCAGCTACTGGCAAGGTTTGAGCCCTACGGAGTAGCCCTGGAGAGAGGCTGTGGATGAGTCCTGCACCTGCCTCATTGCACAAATTCTGCACAAGGGATGGATAAGCAGCTTTTCCAGGAAGGTGGAGAAATGGCCCCAAGGGAAGAGGCTGCAGGACTGCTACTGGTGCCTAGGTGCTGGGGACCCTTCTGTCCTCACCTACATCTGCTCAGCTGGGTTTGTCAGGACGGATGTTGGTTCAAATCTGGATATGTCTTGAGGCTGGACCCAGAAGAGGATACAGGCAGAGAGGAATATGACAGAGATCTACTTGTCATTTCCCCTGATATCAGGTGCAGCTCAGCCTGTATTGGCTAATGGGAGGAGCTGAGCAAAAAATGCAGCCTTGATCTTGTTCCCCCTTTGGTGAGAAAATACCTATAGCAATACTGAGACATCTTCCTCCCTCGGGACCCTCAGGTCTCTGCTGCCTCCTGGAGTCAGGGAAGGAGGGTAGGTCTGACCAGAGCTTTTGCACAAAATCCAGCTGCAGGAGGAAGGCAGTGATGCTTTCACATTTAGTAGAAAATATACAGATGCTCAGGCAAGTCCAATGCCTCCTAGAGGAGAATGCAAAACTGGAGACCTCCACTCATTTTCAGGCATTCTCTCTCCTCCAGCAAGGTGTGAAATGCAGAGACTGCAAGAGAAGGAAGAAGTGGAGCGCCCCTCCCCAGAAACTGGGAGCATTTCCATCATCAGAGGAGGTGTGCATTCAGATCAGCTTAAGCATGGAAGGGATTTGGGTCCAGGCTGCTGACATGCTGCAAGAATGGGACAGAACTGGCAACCACTTCCCCATCCAGACAGGTCTTATGGAGGTGGAGCCCCCTTGCTGGAAAACAAGCTAAGGGGGCTTGGGCTGTCCCAAGAAGGCAGGTGGAGCAGCATCTGGTTTGCATCATGTCTCCTTGTTCAGCACTGCAATGCTGCTGCACTCCTGGGCACATCCGGGAGCAGACATGCAGGTGCTAGAAACACCCCCAGAGAAACGCAGGCCTTGCAAGACTTCAGGTGTGGCACAGCAATATCTACCTGCACGTGTGGGGATCAACGTGCAGAGCAGACGAAGGTGTTGTCCTGCTGTGGGACATGTTCTAGTCCTCGGTCCACTGCTCTTGTTCAGCTGATATGACCCTGGGGCTGCTCTGTCCAGCCAGTGCTCTGCACTCATCTGTCCGGTGCCCAGAGATAAAGTTATTGCACTGGCTGTGATAACAGTCAACAAATCATTCAGTCTGTGGCTGCCAGGTAAGAACTGAACCTGCATTGCTCTGCTGGACAAAAAGTGCTGTAAACAAACAACTGAAAACCCAATATAGTCATATTGCTCTCATGGGTTATTAAATAGGCCCCTTGCTCATTAATGCCAAGAGAATTATAAACCATTTACTTTCTACAACCAAAGCAGTTTGATGCTTGCATTTTCCTAGTCTAGGGTGGCATGTTTTCATTTCTGTTTATAATGAGTTCCACTTTTTGGTTTCCATGTACCAGGGACTTTTTGCATGTGATTGGTCCATTGACCCCTTGGGGTCTGCATACTGCTTCTCTGGGATTTGCAGCTAAGGTAACAAAGGAAAAAACTGTCTCTCTCAGTAGGGCAGAACACCATTTATTTCCCTGGAGAAAGTGTTAAGGGATGGGTTACAAGTCAGAAAAAGTTGAAAACTACTGCTCTTGCATAAGGCTCTCATGTCTGTATTCTCAGCCTTGCCAAACACACAAAGTTTCATGTGTGTGTGTGTGGAAGATGGAGTTCATTATATATACATACATACATTCATTTTCCATTAACATATTTGTGCAAATTGCATAGTCTTTTCATATAAATTTAGAATTTCAGTCCAAGTAGCTGTCTACAGAAGTTCAGTGTGATCTGTTATTGCTCTGCACTCACTGAAAGGAAGCAGCAGGAATTTTTGCTTTTTAACTTTCCTGGGAGCAGGATAACAACATCTAAGTGCCACTGGGTTGCGTTTGCTGTGTGTTCTTCAGTAATTTTCCCCAGAAGTGGTTTTATTTTAATGACAGGCCATCTGATCCCAGAGTCTCATCTGAGCACTGAATTTGCAAATATATGTATTTATTATCATCATATTTGAACAAACATAATGCCTATCCCAAGATCTGAGTCCTTTCAAAGCTGGAGTCTGTAAAGCGCATTCATCATGATGAATAGTGTTAACCCCAGCTGCTTTCGTGTGAGAGGCCTGTTTTGGATTTTCCAAGCAATCAGCCACCCTTCCTACACTAACAATTACAATTTCCATAGGGGTCTTTCTAGTTGTGATTCAGCCTCTAAGCAGTTCACAAGTTCATGGGCTTACAGAAAGCAGGGCTATACCTGCCTCTCTTCATAGACAGCAGGGATGAGTTTATTTTTAGCACAAGTATTCCAGAAATACATTCCACCCCTCTTTAGAAATGTGTGGGAGAGACAGACACACATATACAGACAGTTTTGCCTATATTTGTGTCAGTGGGTGCCTGAAAAGTACTTTTCCACTGTCTGTTTTCATCCCAAACCTTTTTTTTTTTTTTGCAGTGGGCGCCAGTTCTCTCCGATGTCTCAGTTTGTAGGTGCCATTACTCAAGCATGCACCAAATCTTTGTGTGCAGGTACTCTGATCAGTGCAGGAGGTAGGTAGCAGTTGGAAGCGTGTAGTTTGGGGCCAGAACTTAGCAGAAGTGCCCTGATGTTTGGCAAGACCAGCATTTAGTTTGGGATGAGTTAGGAGAAGCACTTGAGCACCAAAGCCCAGACCAGGAGTCTAGGAGAGTGAGCTTTGCAAAATCTTCCTGCTGGGATCTGAGGTGAGTGATACACCTCTCCCAACTGGGGAATTCAAAGCTGAAGGTTGCTTTGCAGAAGGCAGGTCGTTGTCCCTCCAAGGACCGGTAAGCTTAGGCTGGTCTTGGATTGCAGGGAGGATTAGATCATCACAAGCCTCCTGGTGCTTGGAGATTCTCAGGCAGCAGATACCGCATGGTTGTTGTCTTGCCCATACTGTAGCAATGTAATTAGCAGCTCTTTTTATAATGCAAATGAGGACTGGACTCACGCAGAGCCCTGTTCTGCCATGGAAGCAGGAGTGGGGCTGTAATTGCAGGAGATTCTGTTCTTCATTTTGCTGCAGGCTGTGGCTGAAGTCCAGCATGATGCTGGGCCCCGAGAGAGGCCCATGACTTCAGTAAGGAGCTCTGTGCACTCAGCATGGCACAGGGTGCAATCCATTGTTTATATTTGCAGTACAAAAACTTAGCTTGTTGACTTCATGGCATATTTCCCTTATTATTCAACATCCTATTGCAGTTCGCCAAATGAAACCCAATGCTGGCATGTGCCTTGTTTGCTTTGGAAGGACGGTGGAATGGGGTCCTTACTCCAGGAACGCTGGATACATTTGTCCAGCCTTGATGATGAAATGAGCTATTTATGAAAAAGCACCGGTAGGACTCTAATGTGTTACTCATGCATACTTCTTACACGGTATTTTTAATGGTGACCTTAAAAAACATTTTGACTGCCACCTGTAGATACAAAAATGCAGCGCTTTAAGGTTTGAATCACTGGCAGTGGCAAGCCAATCGCACAGCATTACTTTCTGTATTAGTTATCTCTGAAGCATTACCAATGGCGAATCTGAATGTAAAAATAGCTGATGACTGTTTGTTTCATCTGTCTGTTACTTGACACCGCATGGTTATTCCAATACGTATGTTTGCCTCTTCCCCACCATGATCTCCGTTTGGTTTCCCTTGCCTGATAACTATTTAAATACATTTTACTAACTTTGGATTCCTTGCTCACTTCACTTCACCTGGCTGGGCAGGTCTGTGAGGGCTCAAGGGTTAGCTCCTCCACTTTTATTGTTTTATTTATTTTTCAGTGGTTGTTTCTATTAAGATAACCATGATCAGAAGGAGAGTCCGAAACATATAAATAATGGGAAGTGCTAATAGTAAGCAGGCTGCTGTAAAATGTGCTGGGGCTTTGACTTAAGGGAAGAAAGCGCAGCCCTGCACTGTCCCTGATCAGGAAGCTGGAGCACAGAAGGTAAGGGGGAAGCGTATGGGTGTTTTTAAAGCAGGGAAATGGTGAAGAATGGTGGTGTCTGAGCGTGTGAATGTATGTGCACTCAAGGATCAGTTGTGTAATTGATCAGATAAGAGAAATCAAACAGCATTTATATCTTTTTTTCAGTGATTAGAGGTGGAAAGTCCTTTCGTTTTGTCCAGCATTTTCTGCTCTGAAAAATGCAGGGTTGTCTCTGAAAGTCTGCGTGTGGAAAGAGACATACATATAGATTTGTATGCAGTGATTACTGTTTATGACACATATAATTATTTGGTAAAGGGGCATGATCTTTTAAAAAGACCACTAAGTTGATATGAAGCTCCATTTAATTGTCCTGTGCATTGTGCTATAAGGAACTTTAAGCAAATATATGTTGATTTACTTTCCAGATGATTACTGTCTACAGATAAGATACTCCTAAAAACTTTAGTGATTTGTGTGGGGGGTTGAAGGCATTTTTATTTCTCTTTTTGGAACAAATAGGAAGAGAATAATTTAAATATTTTATAGAGAGCAATTAGTATGCTACAGAGCCTGAAAAAGTAAAATAGTTCAAATACCTAGGCAGTGCTAAGAGGCCACTATAAATGACTGTGACTATGACTTGTATGCAATTTTAATCACTGGAAAATTTCTTAAATGGCATAAGCTTTTCTGAGTCCAGTTGTTGCAGAACTTCTCAATCTGCCATCCCAAGGAACTGCATTTTATTAGCCTAGTTGCAGAACTCAGCAGCAAAGTAAGAACAGAAATAATTAAAAGTGAGCTTGAGAAGCCAAACTGCTTATGCTTTTTTAAATGGCCTGTGAACAGGCAATCTGATTAAATCTGAATAGGGAAAAGTTTTCCAGCAGCAGGCCAAAGCGACCGGTTCACGCTGACTTTGTACAGTATCGGCTAGAGGGTTCCTCACTAGTCCTCTGCCATTGGTGGGAGGGAGGCTGGGGAGAAGGAAAAGTGAGAAGAGATAAGAAGGAGAAATAAGCTTTCTGGACAGGATCAAAGTCCATGGCTCTTTTCCTTCACTTCTTCAAGGAATTGACCATGTAAAAAGGGAATGCCCTCGGTTAAATGCTTGAAGGATAAGGCCTGTGGAAAATACTAACAAATAAAAGATTCATAGTATATTGGAGCCCCAAAACAACTAAATTTCTCCATCCTTCCACGCTTGTCACTAGGAAGGTATTTACATACATATTCACAACTTAGTTACCAAAGCAGTTGTAACAGGCACTTACCAACGAACTTGAAGACCACAGCTGGGTGGAGGTATGCAGGTATAATTGCATCCCTGCACCGCAAACCAAAAGCACATGGAAATTTCACTCTGTAGCCTCTTATTCCTACTGGCTTCTCTGAAATGTTTGTCTTGTCTGTGCTTGCATTACTGGAGCTGTGCAAAAGGCCCATGAAAATGTAAATCCCTCCAAGACCAGGAAAAAAAGACAACTAACCCTATGAGCCAGCTTGGGAGAAAATACCACTCATCTGTATCAGTCTTTCCTTTCTTTAGTCCAGCTGAGTTTACACACACAGAAAGCTGCTGGCAGAGGCAAATTCTGCAAGTGGTTTTTAGCTGCAGGCTTCACTGTTCTGGCTTGCCTGCAGCCGGGGTGCCAGGTCACACAGAGCTTTGTCTGCTATAAGCGAGCTGGTGAGTCCATTGCTTTTAGAGCTAGCGTGCATTGCTTGAGGTAGTGTTGCATTTTGGGACCAGCGGTCTGTGAGCCAGCTGACAGGTGTGTGGGGAAAGGGAACATAGTAGGGGCTGCATGTGTGCAACTTTACCCTTGAGAAAAGGTTATACATCTAAAAGTGTGTGTGTGTGTATATATATGTATATATTTGCATGTGTGTATTAAGCTTGGTGTTTTGTGACTATGTTGCTGCTTGCCAGGTTTTTATGGCTTTCAAGTGTGTATGGTCAAAGAGACTGCCACCGAGACCCCTGTCCCTTAGCAGCCCCAGAGAAACTGAGGCAATATTGAAGCCATGAGACGACAACCCTTCCCCAGAAGTAAGGTTTCCCTCTCCCTTGGGTTCCCCTGACAAATGATCCTCTTTGGACAGGTATAGAAAGCAGATATTTAATTGTAGTCCTAGGTTTCTTTATCATCCATCTCCTGTGCTTGCAAATAATGATATACAAGAAGGCATTGGCTAGTAATGATTAACCTAAATCATCTAGTAACAGTCAGACCAACCTTCTTGTGAGCCAAGCAGGTCAAATAGTGATGCATCTTTATTTTCAGTCTCTCACATAGCTACATCCCAGTAGTTTCAGGGATGCTTTCCCTGTTACTTACACACTATATCTGAGGTTGTTTGGGGAACCGTGATAGGGCTATGACAGTCACGTACATGAAAGCCACCTAACTCATACTTTCCACTTGGAAAAGATAGAGATGAAAATCGCTGCAATTTTTGGAAAAGTCTCTGAAAGAAATGCATGTGGTTAACATTTGGCTACACCTTAACATGCAGAGTCAGCAAACAGCAGTATCTGGCAATTTAAGCTACTGCAGATCCTCAGTCTCAGATGTGCCTCTGTCTACCACCTTTACCTCGATCAGACATAACCTATCATATCTTAAGGTCAGCTTGGCTTGCCTGTCAGCTTCATTATAGACCCTTGTACAATTCTGCACACTTCTGATGGCTTCTGCTCTGTTGAGATGCATTTCGGGTGTGTCCCTGTCCTCATCCTTTGCATGTTTCAAAGCATAAGGCTCCATTGTACAGAAATTGGAGTAAGTGCCCAGGATTGTCTGGGATGTTGGTGCAGAAGCAGCAGTATGTTCCGAGGGAACCAGACCGTGCAAGCTGCATCCAGGATTTGTGCTGGGGCAGTGGGGCAGCATTCCTGGTCATCATATTGTTGTTCACTGAGACTCATTGTTTTGACTGATCTGCTTTGAAGTAGTGGCATTAGGACTTAGTCTGTTTCTCCAAAATTGAGAAATGATTCTTTGAGCTACAGGAGTTGTGACCAGGCCTGTTAATTGAATGAAGCCATAGACAAGTAGGTAGAATTGCCACTCGGGGTGTGGGAGAGAACTGAGGAGAAGGGCTGAGGAAGAAGAAGTGGCTGGTGACAGCACTGGGCTGCGGGTGATGCTATTGTCTGCCTGCAGGTTTCTTTAGAGGGTCTGGGGGGTCTGGAAAAGCACTGTGATGACAGCATCACTGCGGTTGCTGAAGGACTAATTCAGTCACAGTCATTGGGGTCTCTCTTAGGGAATAAGCATAGAACCTGCTTAAAACTCTTGTTATTTTCCTTTCTGTCTTTTGCATATATCCTTTACAGAACCATCACAAGAAATGCCTTAGCCTATGCATTAACTGTAAAAGAATAAGGAGGTTCCTTGGGGACACGCCATTAAATCATAACAATGAATCAATGCTGAATATGAAGAGGGAGTCTTCATTTCTCAGGAAAAAAAAAAGAACCCCTGTTGCACAGTGAAGAGGGAACTGGAAGGAGCTTCCATCTTGCTCAAGACGAGACCATTGGCCAGCTTTTGCTTCTCAAAAGGAGGAAAATAGTGTGGCCTCCAGAGATAACACTTGGGGGCAAGAGTGGGTGGGCTCTCCCCTGCCCTCTCGAAGTCCTCCCATAGGTGGATAGCTAGCTGTCCCATGGCCATCTTCCAGACAGCAGGCAGGAGTAAGGCAAGCTACAGCTTTTGTCCTTCAACTGGAACAGCTCTGTTATCATCACAAATGGTTGAGGAGCAGTTTGTCATCGGAGGAAAGATGTTATGCGAATGGATGGTTGTGTGCTTGAGTCATATGCTCTGGCATGGATATAAGTGTGTATTTCCCTCCCTGCCACACCGCTTGCTCAAGAACTGAGCTCTCTTGACTGCACTTGAAAGCTATAGCAAGGTGTAAGAAAGAAATAGCTCTATTTCTGCAGCCTGAGCCAGAAAACCTTGAAAACCAAAGCCTACACCTTCTCTTCCCCCCTCTGGTACATATACATATTTGTCTTTGGTAACATAAGACAGGTATTTCAGGATATTGCATGTCCCTAAATCCCGTGGAATTAATTGGGTGATAAAACCACTTAGAACTTGAAACAATTTTAAACCTAGCACCTACAAATGGCTTGAATTCTTTTCTTTATAGAAAACAGATTCAGCAAAATCCTTGTCCAAACCCTGGAAATATCCAGAAGATATAAAGGAAAGGAGCAGGTGAGACTACTAGTAAAAGAATAATACTTGTTTTCTGCAAGCCTGTTATTTCCTGAGACTGTACCCTGTGTGAGTCAGACTCTCCTTGTCAAGAAGCTTAAATGGTCTAAGTGTAAACTTGACAGTGCAGGTGGTATCAGTGTGCTGGGGCTGATGAGGAGGGCAGTGTAAGCGGGGGATGGTTTCAGATTCTCCAGTCTGGAAAGAGAAGTGAGGCATGGCTGGTTGCTAGCTGCAGATTTCCTTGTGTAGGTCACAGAGGAGAATACACCTGCTTCCCTCTTGTGTCTAGCGTACTTGCTGGTATCATTACAATTTTCCCATGACAGGGGCTGGGACTGCCTGGCATGCTCCTTTACAAGGCGTCCAGGTCATTCCATTTGTTTTCTTGTCCATGTGTTTTTCTTCCCTTCCCTCCTTGTCATCTCCCATCTCTAGCCACTGCGATGCTGCGGTACTCTACAACTTCCCCCCCTACTGTGGGAAAATCTCCTTTCTTCCACTCAGGAAGTGAAAACTCAGAAGCTTTCATCCTCTAAGCCTTGCTTGAGACTAAATGAAAGGGATGAATACCTGTCTCATCAGCGAAAATCCTGTCAGTGCTCAGTGGAGGGGCTGTACCACTGCAATGTCAGTTGTCACCTTGAACTAGTGAGGAAGGCTTGAGTCTTCATGATCCCAAAGAGACGTATAGATATCAAGAACCTGAGGCAGAGCTGAGATCTTTGCAGTGAGTCAGTCACCCGCAAATCTGTGTGGATTTCACTATACAATATAATGCCAAGCTACAGCACCATAGTCAGTTGAAGGGTTTTTTTTGCAGAGGCTCATGGTAAAGTACCATGCCCTGTGAAGGGCAGTGGGAAGGCACATTTTTGCCTTAACTGACAAAGGTTAAGCTCTTCTTGTGTGATTCAGAAAACACAGATTCGGTTCCCTGCCCTGCCACAGATGCCCTGTTTGATCTTGGGCAAATCAGTCAGTTGAAGCTGGGCCTTAGCTGCTGATCTATAAATGAGATAGATAGAAATTCTGCTTGCAGTGGGAGAGTTTGTAAGGATAAACAGCCACGAGGTGTTCATGTACCATATTACTGGGGAGCTGTATAAATATCTCCGTATATAATGACTGACCTAGTGACAGACAGTGGCCTTTTCCAGTCAGACATTTAATGCCAAGAAATGCACTGTTTGGGTTCAGTTGCTTAAATGTCACTCGTCTGTGCTGACTTCAGGTCATGGGAGGAGCATCATCCCTTTGCCTTGTGATTCTCATAGACTTGTGCTGTTTGTCAAGTGCTGCACCTGCCCTTTGCCTATGTTAGTCATGCGCTCTGTACCTTTGACTTCCTCCATCATTTCTGCATGTTACTGACTCTTCAAAGGCAGCAGATAGGGCTCAGGTAATGGAAAGAGTGAACAGGAGTTGCAAGAAAGCCTCAGTCCAGATACAATCCGTTCTGAGAGACATCTCCTTCTTCCAGACTTGACAGGCCTCTTGGCAGGATGGGGCATTTGGAGGACATTGGGAAAGACAGTCTGGAGACCAGCTGGAAATAACGGTTGGGTCTTTGCCATTGAACGAGGAAGGGAAAGGTAGAGAGACTTGCCATAGCTGTCACAAGCTGTCTCTGTTCCTCCCATTTTTCTTCACGTGAGGTCTTCATCTCCCAGTGCTTGAAGCTTTGTGATCTGAGCTGAAGAGGTAAGTGTTCCAGCTGGGGCCTGGAAGAGGTTCACATCCTTTGGGGAAAGGACACAAAGCAGGATACGTAATACAAGGTCATTAGCTAGGTACACTCCCTCTTTGCATTCATGCTTCCACCAGGTTGCACTGACCTTCCTTGAGCTGTGAGTCTGATGAATCCCTGGTTCCAGCTCCCATGGCAACAGATACACTAGCTTCAGTAGAGCTCACTGGGAGAAAAAGACTTCAGCTGTCTTTTCTTCAGAAAAAAACTGGTTTGATTAAACAAATAAAATCACAATCATATTCATTTTAATGACATTTCCCCTAGAAAGATAATTGGAAATTATTTTTTTGATCATTTGGAATATTTACTCAGGGAAATTTCAAAACAAGATCACACTCTCTGTTGCAGTACCATCAGAGTATTGTTTGACGTAGAAAAGAAAATGGAAAGTTTCAGTTAATATTAAATAGCATACACCTTCTCTGACTTAAGGACAGTAATAGTACACTATTTTAACTATTATGGTATATATTACACATTACTTCTCATGGCCTATAGTGTAAAAATAGTTAAATAATCTGAAATGGAAAGATATTTTTTTAAATTCTGAATGAAATTTTGACATTTATAATTTAATTTCTCTTCAGAATCTTTATTCCATGTGACATTTCAAAAACAACCTAAATGAGAACATCCTCCCATCACACACACACACATTTCCAAAAGTTTATAGTGTCCATAGGATGGCAATTCAGATTGCCAGCCAGCTGTGCTGGTCCAGTCTGGGACTGCACAACGTCTACCACACCACTCTTAGGTCTAGATATTCTAGTGAATATTGCAGAAAAGAGCAAAATTATTTTATCCCAAATGCACTGCTATTGTCAGTGGTGAGTGATACAGGTTAGAAAATCAGAATTGTCCAGAGGACATGATTTGGTGGCATAGCAATGTAGTATTGGTTCCAAATCCCTTTCCTTTGCATGTTGGTCTGAATGCCACATGGGGGTGAGGTTTGGCTCTTCAGAGATGTTGGATTTCACTTTACTGTGGTTACAGTTACTTATGTAGCCTTCTGGATAGTGCACCAGTGTCGGCTTAGGAAGTAGATGTATTTAGAGTCACCAATTCTGTTCTCAGTTATTCTACTGACGTCAGTAAAACGACTCTAGATTTATACTAGTGTAACTGAGAACAGAAGTTGGCCCAAAGTCAAGAACAGTCTCTCCTCTTCTCTGGCCCAGGACAAGCTGTTCGAGACACAATTGCTGGGCCAAATCCTCAAGGAGAATGGACCCCAGTCTACACTGGTTTGGTCCAGACACATGGTTCCTTCACCTTGCTTCCCAGTGCAATGATCAAAGATCTGATGCTGGAATAGCTGAGGTCACCTTGTTCTATGCTAGTCATTTCTGTCAGTGTTTGAGATCTTCACCCTAAGCTGGACTGACCTAGTTCTCCACCCTCCATCAGCTGGAGCAGGTATTTGTACTTGAGTAAATTCCCTTCCCCCAAGCAGGAAAATTCACTTTGGCTGCCCTTTATGATTATGACCGCAAAGCATAGATGAAAGTGATATTGTTGGATGAGGGAAATGGACGCTTGTACTAATAGCTTTCACCTTATGACCATCTTAATCCAGAAATTGCCTTTCTTGACAGTTTGGGGAAATGTGGCTGGAGCACCACTGTCTCTCTTGCCAGGCAGCTCCCCTCCTTGGTGAGGGTGTTGTGATCCTCCCCCTGGCCCATGTGCCCCGAGGATAGCTCAGAAAGGCAGTGTGCCTGGAGCTGCCCAGGCAGCAGGGCAGATCAGAGGGAGCATTTGGCTCGATGCAGCCCAATATGACCAGCCCACACACTCTTGGCAGTCCAAGCAGCCCAGCACAAAGGATGTTTAGGTATTCCACACCAGACTATGGGGGTCTTTCCTTTCTCCTGGACATCCTTCTGGCTCCTTGTCTCTGACAGGGACTCACAAGGTGACCATTAACTCCCTGACACCTTTCTGTCTGTTTTTCTAAAAGCAAAATGAAGGCGGCGGTACTGTGATCATCGACCGACAGCAGCACTCTCAATAACCATTCACGTACTGATCACTGCTGCCACACAGGACTTTCTGGCGATACCCGAGAGAGCTCACTGAGCCAGCCCTGCTTGGGCTAGAGAGGAGCTGCCATTGGCTGGGAGCGTTGTCTCAGCCTGGTGACACATAGCTGAAAAGGCCTGTTTCCATCCAGTCCTCTCATCTGATTATGAGCTCCATGTCTGTGCCATGAACAAACATGCACCTATGCAAAAAAGTCATCAATTCATTAGGGATTCTCCTATTTCCCATGGTAAGAAGCACTAACTATTGTCATGATAAGCCCCTGGAAGCCCAAAGCAGCAGCGGCAGCGTGTGTGTAAGTAGAGCATGCCACTGAATAAACCTCAGCCAGCAGTCACCATAGGGCTCTGAGTTTTGGGCTGGAACTGTGGATGGATGCCATACAGAGAGCACCACATGAAGAAACCACCTCACAAAGATTTAAAAAAAATAAACCTTCCCTCCCTCTCCCTTCTTTTCCCATCGTCTAGGAGAATGCAGTGCTGCTGACTTCAGAGTGCTATGCAACTCCCAGGGCCGCTGCCAAAATGCCACCACGATGTCTCATGGCACAACATTTCAGCCAAATACCAGCCCAAGGAGGGTGGGAGAACCAAATGGCCCTTTATATATTGCAGCAGCAGTGATGTCACACGCTCCAGCCAAGTTTGCTGGTTTGCCCAGCTCCTGTCTAGTGAAAAAAGTTGACATTCAGTCTGTGCCAGGCCAAGAATAGTCTCTGTAATTTAACCTCCTCATCACAACTTGCTAGGCACTTAAGAGAGCCACTGAAAAAAGCCTCCTATTTAAAAGAGAGGGGAGGGTGGTTTCTGATTAAGCTCCTTGAAATCTGTACATTCATGCAAGCTCTTTCAGTAGCTCATATCAGATGATGCCTACTGCAAACACCTCACATGTTTCTCAGCATTTCCCAAGCAGTTCCAAATGCCCAGTGTTGCTTTCCTCTGTCTTGAAAATAATCTAAATTCAGGCATCTTAAATGTTTTAACGAGCTGAATCCTGACCTAAGCTCAAACACTGCACCTTGCTTGCTGGCTGCCATGTTTATCAAAAAAAAAAAAAAGAAATGGGACTTTACCAGATTGTTAAACCAGCCATGAACAGCTTCTTTGCCCAACGTTCAGAAGTTGCCATCATACCTACACAAGGGGTAGCCAGATCAGTACATTGCTGCTGTTTCTATCCAGTCCCAGTAGTGATCTGCACCTTGAACCCTTGGTGTAGATACAGCTTTTCCAGCTTGAAACATTACACTGCCCAAGTACTAGTATTATGGCCAGGAGAGACAAGGATCTTGACAAGTGTTTCAGAGACAGTGACAGTCGCTATTCTTTTTTAATCAGTGGCGCTGAGTTGTTTTTGTAACAGTGACTCCATCTAGGAAAATAATTGCTGAGATTACATCATGAGCTCTATGTTTATTGTTACCCTACTCACTTTTCAGCAAATGTTCTCAGTTTACAAGGGACAAGATGTTTCTTCAGACCTCCGTCCATGAGATCTGAAAGCCAAGCTTCTTCCTAGTTCAGGCACCACCACCACTAAATAGTGATAAACATTGTGCCGCTGGAATTTAGTCAACAGCCCCGTTGATGAGTGAGCCAGAACATAATCACAATCTCCCACGGCTCTGTTGGCTTTGCACAGAGTACCACAGAAGTAGTAAAATTGTAATTTAACCTCTGAGCAAAGAGATAACTGAGTACACATCTCTGCAATGAGGATGCCCTTTTACATCTGGCTGCAACCAGACATAGCATTGGGTTTTTTTCCTTTTCTTTCACTTTTTTTTCACTCAGACATCTTAAATGGACCACAAAAAGCTCTGATTGGTACAGGCTTGTCCCTGAACTAACACTGACAACTGTCCTTCCTCAGGTAAGGTGTAGTAGACCATCCTGGTGGGTGAGCCCTTGTTGCCGCTTTTGCCAGTGTGTTTTGAATACCACGGGCTGACATAAAAGTTTCCTTAGAGGAGACCCTTGCTTCAGGAAAATCTACTGTATCTACACCTATGTGCTATTTGCATTACCTCAGGGCCAGGCAGTTCTCCTTGCAGGAAATGGATATATTCTTGCAAAGATTAAACAAACTAGCCTGAACCTTGGGGGTCTCCACAGCAAAAGGGCAGCAGCAATGCACATTCACCATAGCTGAGCTTTCCTTTAGAATCTCCTGACTCTGGTTCATGCATGGAAGCAAAAAGATGTTTTGTTTACTGTCCCTCACCATCCCAGCTGTCCACCTTTCCTGTCCTTTACAACAGGGACAGTGAAAAGGATGGACTTTCAAACCTCAGCTGCATTAGTTCCCAGTCCACCAGATTGACGTCTGTCTATGCTTGTTGGCAGTAGGAAGTCATATACAAGTGGAGTGAAGGCACACATTTTCCTCTACAGTCCCTCTGAAAGGGTGGCACAAGCAGGGACGTAGACAGCAGCAGGGAAGAAGTCATCTGGCACAACCCCTCTTTTTAGCCTGGAGACGTCACCCAGCCTTTGCAATGGGCAGACTGCCAGGAAACCATTGCTCACTCAGCTGTTAGTCCCTGCTGGGGCTACCAGAGAATGCTGGAGGTTGTGATAGTTGTTTGCTAGGAACCTGACTGCACTCCACAAGCTACCAAACCCTTAAGGTATCTGGTTATTATCACTCTGGGATGGATACCTGTCTCTTTTGGTAAGAAATCCTGTAAATCACTCCTAAAATGGTTGTAAAATGTGAATGAACAAATAAATGACTGAATACCGCACGAGACAATCTTCAGATCACGCAAACGAATGTCTTTGTTTTCAAATTGCAGAGTTCACTTAAGATCAAAAAATGCTGAAGGTCGGAAACATCCCAGGACACTACTTCTGTCGAATCTACATCACTGGACTATTTCTACCTCCTCACTAAAGATGGCCAGAAATGAAGCCAAATACAAGCATGAGAGGGAGTTCTGAAGATGAGAAGCAAAATTACATGGCAGGTATGTACCTGTACTTCCCGCTCACATAACAGTTAAGAATCAAAACCAAGAGCGGGATGGCCTTTCATTTGTCTTCTCTTTTTTCCTTCCTTTCACTTCCCCCACCGCACATACACAAAAACGTATGTGCGGTGGAGGGGAGTGAAACTGACTTCTGAAAAATCTTTGTACAAAGTAAAATGGAGAAGCTCTATTAAGCTTGTTTTATTTCTGGCGTAAATCTATTGTAGTTCTGCATAAGTCATCGGAATTGCATGGCTGGAAGGACAGAGTCAAGATTCATTATGATACTTTGAGTCTAAAAATAGGTTGGCTGAGGTTTTTTTAAATAGAAAAGGAAAGTTTTCATTTGAAGAAACAATTGAGCCTGAGTAACTCAGCTGATTAAGCCCAGTTCCTCTGGCTTTTCATACTTTGACCAGCACTGAGTCATCATAGGGAAAAATGTGCCCTTTCCAAGAGTCTCACTGAGATGGGCCAAAGTGGCATCATGGATTTTGACAGGTGGAGGGGCTGAAATCTGGATCTGGATTTCATTGCTCAGTTCTACAGTGGATCCAAGTTTGAGATGGAGACAGCTTCCACCTGTATAGAAGCTGGAAGCTGCTGTAGATGTGAACTGTGCTGTTTCAGCTCATCACAAGTAAATGATGCAATTGTACTAGGAAATGGAGATACAGATCAGCCTTTCCTTAAGGAGTCTAAAAGGACTTTCCTTTTAGCTAGCTCTTGAATATGCTTTTAAACTGAGTCTCGCTGTAGTTTAGTCAATACCCTGCTCAAGCCCTTGAATGTGAGAATAAGCATCTAAAGAGTTTACAGAGTAAATTTTCAAGAGTTTTAGTGTACAGATTTCAAGTATAGCTGAAGGGTCTATTTTGCTTATACTTGTTCCATCCAAAGATTTCCCCATCCTGTCTTCAGACTGACGTGGAGACAGACAAAAACCACAATGCTGTGGGCGCTGACTGTGCATCATAATCAGGGATTAATGGAAGGCTGTGATATTTTATAATTGTGTTGAATGGGTTACCTTTTGCTCTCAGCAGTTCTGGAACTGAAACCAAATGTTCCCTGTGCTCCTTTAGTGGGTCTGCTAGTGTCCTCTAGGCACTCCTGCCTTCTGCTGGCTAAGCTGATATTAGCAGCCTCTTCAGTTTCAATATACCAACCAACCGTATCTGGATATGGGTGGCTAAAGGATTTTACCCCAGCAATATTTGCTTGGAACATGCTAATGCACAGTAAATCCTCTTTACCTGTGGTGCCATTCTGCTTTCTCAAACAAGTCTTCTGCTCAGGGTAGTTGTCACAGCAAAGCTCCAGCCTGATACCTGATAAAGCAGGTTCATCTCCATAGACTTCATTTTCCGCAGTCATGAGCTAACAGACGAGTGAGAATAGAAGCTTCTATAATAACTTTTTATTTTTCACAAAATATTTTAAATTATAATTATGTCTTACCAAGTAAGTTTTATCAACTTTTATTTCATTAATTAAGTTTTCTCCTTTTTTATTACTAATTCTTCCTGGCCAAAAAATGGCTAATCTTCTTAGCTAAAGACATGCACAGCATTTGGAAGTGTTTATGGTTGGAGGTATGGAAAGGGAAGTACTTGAAATTTGGCATTTGGCTCTTATATCCTTGTTTAAGAGCCCAAGTAAAGAAACTGAGGTGAGACCACTTTTTTTAATGGCGCTTTCCAGAAATTAAACTATCTACCATGAGCTCCTTGAATTGACCAAAATAACAATTATTTTTCATGTTGTTTATTGTGTTGCTAGCATCTTGTTTAGAAAACATGCAGGAGCAAATTAGTCAGTGACTGATATATCTGGAAAATGCTCTCTGTCTAATAGTGTTAATATAGAAAAATGATAATTTATAATTTTTGGCTTTGCAGAGAAGAAAGTATCCTTCAGCTATTCCGTAAGATGAATCGATGTGCAGCAGCACCGTCTGGAGGAATAGCTTTGTGCTTGTGAATTGCAAACAGCTGGAACCACCCAACACAATCATCTGCCTGTTTGACACCTGAAATTAATCCTTTGAATAATTCATTCATGACTCCCATGAACAATGCAGGGAAATAAGAAACATACAGAAGGACATAGTGACTCCTCAAGTATTGGGAGTCTCCTGGATGACACAGACAGAGAGGTAAGCAGTCTCACAGACCGGGCTTTCAAAAGTTTGTGTGTGGCAGAACTCGAAGACTCTTACAATGAACCAGATCTTGCCATTTCACCTGACTTCGCCCTCCAATTCTCTGCTAAATTTCACCCAGGGACGTTAAACCATACCATCAAGAAAAGCAACGTCTGTAACAAGCTAACAGCGAGAAACAATGAACATACAATATGGGCTTCAACATTCCAGCAGTTACCAAAGTGTGCTCCAGAGGAGAAAAGGATTGCTAAAAACAAGACCTTTGCCATGGAAAGGAACAAGCTGAATTTGCCAGTCCCTGGTCCAAGGAACAATAAACATGTTTCAAAAGTGTCCTCATTGATTAAGACATTTGATAAGACTGCAGACCAAGGGTCAGGAGGTTCCCTGATAGCCCTTAAGCAGCCCATTAAGAATAGCTTTCAAAAATGTAAATTAAATCATGGAAATGATATGGCTTGCTGGGATGACACAGACATTTTAAGCATCCACAAGGAACTTTCTGAATTTTCTGAGGCTAGTCAAGGTAGCCACTGTCTCAGCGGCAAACATGAGCCACAGAAAAGACCTACTAAAATAGACCTGAGTTATTGTGGCTCTGACGGTTATTATCCTGTGCTGATTGAGATGTCAAAAGTAGCCAAGTCAAATTTTTCCCGTTCATCTAAAAAGGCTTTAAAAAACAGAAGTGTGAAAGTTAATGAGCCAGCAAAAAAAGGTAATTTTCTTCACAGTGAGAATAGTGCTTTTGAATCGTGGAATGTTCATCATAAAAAACTGGCTGAAAAGGAGGAATTTATTGATATAAAAACAAAAAAGGAAGGTCTTGCATACTTGGAAGAAGCACCATTTATTAAAGGGTCCCGCACACGTGAACATAAATTACCATCTGCCAAGATCACTGTTGCCAAGAAGCAGGAGAAAGATTTTCGGATGGAGACAACTCCACCAGAAGCTGCTTTCAGCGTCCCTCTCCCAGCTGTACACGTACCTCAGGGCCCCCTCCCTTCAGAAACCGAATTTCCTGCTGCTCTTCCTCCCGCACCTCCCCCTAGGATCCATGCACACCAGGGTCCTCCTCGGCCACTCCCTGTCTCACAGGCCCTTCCTCTTCCACCCCCCACCCAGCAGGGCCATCCCTCAACATTCCCTACCCCTGAAGCCCCTCCTGTGCCACCACCCCCAATGCCAGCTCAGCTTTCCTCCCCTGCCATGTCCCAAGCCTCAGTCTCACCCCAGTCCACGTCCTACAGGATGGTTTCACCCTCACCCATGTCCCAGGCACCCAGCACGCCTCCACCAAGACCTCTGGCCACCTTAACTGAAGAGGAGGTCCTCAGTCCCCAGCTGGGCAATACCTGTCCACCCTGGAGGAGACACAGGGCTACAAAAGGGGCAGCAGAGAAGAGACAGACTTCAAAGGAGAAGTTCACAGCCAGCGATGAGACGGTTTCATTGTCTGAAAATGTGACTGGTGCTGAACCTGGTCTGGATGTGACTCCTCTGGCTAAACAGGTAAACTCCCCTGGATCGATCAGTCCCTCTTTCAACATCACCGAACTCTTAACACCCATCATACCACCAAAACAGGAGGTAGACCCTGTGGAAAGTGAGCTGATCCCGCTGACACCTCCTCCCACTGAGGGCGCAGCAGTGAGAGACCATGAGGGGAGCGCATTTGGCGATTACAGGTCTTGGGATAGTTACAAATCGAAAGCATCGAGTCTGTTATTCAACTTGAAGGATGTGCGTAAACGTGTTAAAAGCATTTATACCCCTTCTCCCCTGTTAAGGGCCTTGGAGGAGAAAAATAAAACTAGGGAAAATATACAGGAGAGTACAAAAATGAATGCCTCACTCTCGACTTTACAAGAAAAAAGTAACAAAAATATTGCAGAGAAAGATGAATCGAGTGATATTACCTCCATATTGTCTGGCAGTGTTCATGAAAAGGACAATAAAACTGATTTAACTGGACACTTTACAGACAATTACCTGACTTTGAGTTCACCCCAGACAACAGCAGACCTTTTATTTTACCAAACTGGAGACAACTTGCAGCAAGACGATTCAAAACACGAAGGTCTGGTTAAAAACACAAGGAGCAATGAAAACTTCCCCTTGTTCAGAAATGAATCGAATGTACCTGATTTAAGGAAACGTCTGCAGTATCCAGCACTGAAACCATTCAGTAAAGACAATGCAGATACAACAGCTGGGCAGCCCGTGCAGTTCACCCCACAACAGCAGACCTTTTATTTTACCAAACTGGAGACAACTTGCAGCAAGACGATTCAAAACACGAAGGTCTGGTTAAAAACACAAGGAGCAATGAAAACTTCCCCTTGTTCAGAAATGAATCGAATGTACCTGATTTAAGGAAACGTCTGCAGTATCCAGCACTGAAACCATTCAGTAAAGACAATGCAGATACAACAGCTGGGCAGCCCGTGCAAAATCCCAGCGTCCGGGGTGAGGAAAATGAGAGACAAGCTGCTAATCAGAACGAAGAGTTTGCCTTCAAAACACTCCCAAACCAACTCTCACCAGCAGAGGATGTGCCTTACAGTGACATCCAAACCAGTATGGTGGTAACCGGCCATGAAACACAAGGCAAAAGAAGCAGTAGTTCTTCGGAGCAATCTTTCGTCTCCACGGTAGAGCAGCCACTTCAGGAGGAGCCGTTTCCACCGGTGCCCCTGATGCAGAAGGCATGCCTTCAAGAAAGCCAGAGGGCTAAGAGTGAAATGGGTGCAGACAGTAAGAAAAGTCACAAGGAGAGAGGGAAAGAGGTTGGGGAAGATGAACTGCAATATTATGCTTGTATCAGCTCTGGTACTGGTGCAGCAGAGAAGAAGGAGGGTAGGGTTACTGGGAATGAACAGAGGAGCTTGATGAAAGAGACACTAAGGAGAGAGAAAAAGGAAGAGGCCAACAGCATGGATTCTGCTTCCGACAGTATAAGGGACATGTCCATCCCCAGGTCTGAGGAGCCAGAAACACCCCCAACTTCAAGCTCAACCAAACCCAGTCTGTTTATGATTAAAGATAACACATTCAGGTCACCTCAGGTAATAAGGGCTGTCAAGCTGCCCCTGTTCAGGTCCTTTTCCCTGGATGATACAGTGAGCAGCAGTTATAGGGAAATGGAAAGTAGGTTTGTGCCCCCAGCAGAGCACAACAAGCAGCACCAAAACCTGTTGCATGCCCAGGAGGTAGGCTGGTCGGCAGTGAGGCGCAGAGGGCAGCAGAACGTGAGGGATGGAGCAACCGACAGAGGAAAAGAGGCCAGTGAGCCTGGATCTACTTCAGCAACACTGGATCCCAGTCTTCTGGAAGATACAGAGAGCTTTTCATTAGGGAAGCTGATAGAAGAAGATGAAGAGACTTGTGCTTTGTTAAATAAAGTTGGGAAAATGAATGAGGAAAGTGTCTGCAGAAGGAAAGAGAAGCTGCAGACTAGGAAGGCAAGACACGGCTTAACACAGCCAAATTTAGCTCTGGAAAACGACCAAGCACAAAACAACGCCAGCTATCCTGCAGAAAGACAGATGAATTACTTTAAGAATCATCATTTATCTAATCGCAGAGGTGGCTCTTGTGCGAAAAAAATAATCACTAGGGAGACCATTTCCCCTGTGACTGGCTCCATATCAGAGGACCACACGTATTCTCCTGTATCCCATGAAGCTTTAGAGGCCATCCTACATATGGAAGGTGCACCAGTTTTGTTAGACAGTCTTGCATGCTCTGCTGTTGCAAGCCCCAGGTCAGGCAGCATGATGCACTCTATTGCTGCCAGTTCATCGTCAGACAAGCCAACAAGAGAGACAGAGGATGTTATAAACCCTGCCTTGCTAAACATGGCACTAAAGAGCCAAGCTGATATGTCTGCAGAAGAGATACTTGATTCAGCACAGAGGAATCTGCCTTCTGATTCTGCAGGGGAAGCTGAGAGACTGGAGCCCGGGGGACCTGGGGAGAGAACAGCAGGCAAGCCTCCTGCTGTGCCACCAAAAACAGAAAAGGCTCTGCGGCGGGCCAAAAAGCTGGCAAGCAGGAGAAAGAAAATGCAAGAGCAGCAGAAAAAACATCAGACCGAGCATACAGATGCTGTAGGGAGAAAGGCTTCTCATTCTGGACAGACACTAGCATCTCCCTCACCCTTGGAATACTCTCCTCTCCATTCTGCCCCTCACTCAACTTTTACTCCCACAGAAACCAGTACAGGAAGACCCTGTGGTGCATCAGCAGTAAGCCCTTTACCCTCTTCAACTCAGCGTAAACTCCTCCAAGACCCTGACTCTGGCCAATACTATGTAGTTGATTTACCAGCTGAAGTTAATTTAAAGACATTTTATGACCCAGAAACTGGCAAATATGTTCAAGTCTCAGTCCCTTCCTCGGAAGGGAACTTATACCAGCCCCCCTCTTCAGAAATTATGAATTCTCCTTATGCCTCCTACCCTAGAGTGCTCCCTTTACCAGCTTCATCTGTAGCAGTGCTGAAGTCACCTTCTCAGCTCTCCGAACCTACCTGGTTAATGCCAGCTGTACCAGGAGAACCAGCTGAACTACCTGAAGATGACCAGCAGGATTACAGATATGCTGAAGCTGTGGATACCCAGCCCTATATTGAACCAGCCTCTCACCCCTATAGTCGAGATGCTGAAGAAACTCAAGTTCACTTACAAAAGGACATGAGCCCAACCCCAAATACTGACATAGTGTCCCTCACCGATTTAGATGATTTTGCTGCTGAAGGAGTATCTTGAAAACTGAAGTAACAAAATATGTCAGCTAGTGTTTTTAAGAACCATTTGGACAGACACATGCACACAAAAGCACATGCAGATTTGATGTTTGTACACCACTTTATGTCTGAATCTCATTGTGGTTTGGGTGGGAAGGAAAATGAAAGCTGACCACATTGAAAGATGCAAGGTGATGATCACTCTGAAGAAGTGTGAAATTGAGTAAGCACCAAATTATCAGTGAGATGAAGGGGCAATGCCAGCTAAACAAATAAATACAACAGTATGAAGCCACTGCTTGCTGCTGCTGCTGCTTTGCCATTATGATGGCTGGGATTGCCAAAGCAAGTGTCCTTTTGCCCAGATGTGTTGCATGATATATGACACAAAGTAAAACCTATGAGACCATCCTGTCCATCCTATGAGACCTAGGACAGATGCCGCATCTACTGAACTTTCCTCACTCACTGCCTTTCAACTATATTGACAAGTAGAAAGCATATGGCTACAAATATGCCGTAAACCCAGGATTCATTTTTTGCACACACTGATTGCCCAGATGTTATTGACAAGAAGATTGTATACTGAATGCAAAATACAACAGCCATGACAAAAAACCTTTAAACAACCAGAATACAGTTGCAGCTGCTCTAGACTTCTCATATACTTTTGCAGTGCCCACTAACATGCTGCTGAATTCTTTATATTTCTTGATAATCTCCATGTAAGTTCTCTTAGAGTCAGGGGTTATTTATAATGCAGCTTAAAACTTCAACTTATCTTGATACGTGGCCTGAAATATTTTGGTAAGGAGCAAGGCTGAATGAAATCCCATAATGGTATTTAATTTTTTGTTAGGATGAGAAGACCTTTGCTTATTATAATCGAAGTGGGTTTGGTTTTGTTTTGTTTTGTTTTGAGGCTCCCACTGAAATATAGCACTAACTTTTAAAACCTGAAAAACATTGTACCTAATTTTGGTCTTGTGAATTCTGTGATTTAAAAAGAAAAAGAGATACCAAACATCCAAAGTATTAATTTCTAGAAAAGTGCTTCTTTGGATTACCACTTTTATATGGAAGATCTATATCAAAATATCACTCATCCTTGTGTAAGCTCTTTTTTATCATCATAGATAACGAGAGAACCTTGGTGAAAAGATGGAAAAATTGAATGTAATATGCCTGCTTATAAATATCTATATTTGGAGTATTGGTTTCCTTTCTCTCTGTCTCATTTTCATATTGTTTTCCCCAATTAAAACTGAAGTGCAGGAGCTCTAAGGAAGAATTATACCAGTGACTTTCAGCCTGATTCACATCTCAGGCTGTTTTTACAGGACTGTTTTTGGTGAAGTGACTCTTGACTTCCTGAAAAGAAAGGGAAGAATCAGGCCTTTTGCTAATAAATGCAACATGGGGATGGGACACAGGAACCGCCCCACTGTCCCAGTTTTAATATTTATGATAGAGTTTTTCTTCAGTAAATTCTGCATTTCCCAGGACCGAGGCTGCTCTCAGGACACAGACCAACACTTGGTGGTTTGGCTCCTTCCCTAACCTGAACTCAGCTCCCAGCCTTCCTCCATCCCTGACGAGAGCTGTGCATTCCGAACCTGTCCTGAACACATCAGGCACTTCCTTTCGTCAGTGCTATTTGCTAAAATATTTTCCACAGAGGGGCTAGGCAGACACTAAGGGCATCTCTTCATTGATTTCAGTGAGGTTTGGATTTGGCCTTTAATGATTTTCTAAAGTCCGTTTTCCCTGTTATGCAGAGTTGTGTCAAATTTGCCATGTTGTGATTTGGCAGGGACAGTTGCAGCACAGCTGTGGGGTGGAAATGGAGAAGCTTGTACTGGTTTGGTTTGGGTTTTGAGCACATTCAGCCAAATGCCCATATTCGAATAAATATTTATTGTTCAGTCTCCACCCTTGAAAGTTTTCAACACCTGACTGGGTAAAGCCCTGAACAACCTGGGCTGGCCTCAGAGCTGACCCTCCTTGAGAAGGAGGTTCATCCAGAGACCTCCTGAGATCTCTTGCAGCCTGAATTATCCTCTGATCCTATTCTGCAAACATTAAAATTTTTAAACCAACTTTGACTTGGAACTCATAAAATGCAGCCTCCCCTGGAAAAGGGTTCATTTTGAAAGGAATAAAAAAGAATTTGAAAGTCAAGAGTGTTTCAGGAACAAGGATCAATTTTCAAGTTGTTAAATTAAGGGAAATGGCTCCTGTTATGAATATTTTTCCTTTTTTTTGGTCACAAATAATTTGCTAATCTGACATGGTGCCATTGATGTTGCACTTCTCTGTTGCTGTCACTGTATACAGCATAACGCTTATCTAGTATAGAGCAGAATGTCATCTACATGTTAAAATATAGATAAATAGATCTATTTAACTTTTCCATGCTACATTTAGACAGAACCTATGTAATCTGAAAGCCTAGCAGAGTGCACAAGCCATTTTTTTTAGTTTGATATTACAAATTTAAATGCCCTTAACAGCCCCAAGTCAAGAAGTAGACAGGCTCTCGGAGGACAGGATAAAAGCATGCTTTCCAAGGGGAGACTGTGGCTACAAAGTGTCTGTGCACAGATATAAAAGAAATGGTAATTTGATAAGCAAATTATACAACTGCATTAAAAAAAAATCCCTTTTGCTTGGTTAACTGTTGTTTGTTTTGTATATGTGCACACTTCTGCACCCTTTTTTTGAGGGCCTTCTTAAACTCTTATTGTGGAGAATGGGATCCTCCAATATACTACTTCTAGGTAGGAGAAGAAAGCAGAGTGTATTTTTCACTCTGCTGTGACGGCAAACTGAAACGCGGGCATCTGAAAAGGAGCCACTCCTGACTTGGATACCTAACACAGTTCAAGTAGGACTTCTTTATTTTGGCCAATACTTTCTGCTAGCTTAAGGGAGCTGCGTTCACAGCGGACTGTGTCTCTAAATATGCACATGTCCCAGATGGAGTTTTGACCTAGTGAATTTGTAGCTAAATGAAACAAACAGAACTGGGGAGTTTTGAAAACAAATATGAAAGTGGTTCTCATGATGTACCCAGAGCTTTCCCTAGGGCACTTTGCCACAGGGAGTGAATGATATAAAAGTGCTGCTCCAGGTCCCAGCCTGGTATTGTCTCCATTTGAGTATGAACCCATCGGCAAACCTGTCTCTGGCAAGACCACGCTGTTTTGCAACTTCTTGCTAGGCCGTGGGAGGGTGTGTGTGTACACACACACACATGCACGCACATAAAGAACCCTATATATATAAAAAAAAATTATATATATATAAAAAATATACCTATAAAACTGCCATTTGCATATCAGTATAAGACAGCAGCAATGCCTGTGATGGTGAACACAGAATGTTTGTGTGTTAAAAGGAAGCCAAATGGCACCTTTTCAAAAAACAAATATTTTTCTTTCCTTGCCCTTTTCTGTTTGTGTTTGTTGGGGTTTTCTTCCATTGCTGCTGTGGGAAACTAGGATAGAAGAGGTCATTATTAGGCAAAATGACAGCTGTGAATTGACCTTTTTCTTTGGGGAAGGGGGGTGCTATGGGAAATGTGCAATAGTCATGAAAGCAGCTGTAGGAAAGCACTGTTTCGTGATGCAAACGACTGACATTAAATCATAGGTTAAAGAGGTGTTGAGGCAAACTAAGCTGAATTCTGCCTTGCAAGCAGCCGGTGGTTAGGACTAAAGAACACAGCAGGCTATTTGCATGCACAGAAGCACAGCAGGCTGAGGGGAACAGAGGGCCGTTGCTTTCACCGCTCCCTTCTCCTGCACGTGGCCTTTTTTGCATGTTGCATTTCTGGGTGCCCTGAGGCTCATTTACAGCGGTGGTTCTTCCTTGACAGATGTGACTGAGGCCAAACCTGGCTTAGCTAGTCTTTGGCTCTTGGGCCAGAACCGCCTCCCTTTGAACCTCCTTCTCCTTCTGGAGCAACTGCAACGCCTTCCAGTCCAGTTGTCACACGGCAGACTTGGACTGCCATCCCGCAGCCATGGCTCTGCCCCAAGAGCTCAGATTTCCTCAGGCAAAATGCTGGATTTGTTTTAGAGAGTGCATTTTAATTGAAATGGCCTACACGCGTGGATTTTTATCAACTCCTCCTTGGGTGTTCAGTGCCTTCCTAAGTCATCTGTCCAAGAAAATGTGTGTCATCGGCACGTTCCATTGATGCAACTGTATTTGCAAATAAGTAATTATTTATTAAGTAATAAACAAAATAAATGGGACTTGTTTTACAATACTGGAATGACTTCTAGCCAGGTTTTTCATTGTAATTATGTCTCATTGTAATTTTACCTCCAGTTATGCCAGCAGAAAAAGTCGACAGCATGGAAGTGTGTGTCTGTGTGTGCAAGTGTGTGGTATACAGTTAAAAGATCTAGGAGATGACTGGATGTAGGGCATCCGCCCCCTTCCTCCCCCTCCTAAAGAGAGGGAGCAGGAGGCTAGGCAGAAACACCTTTAGCCCAGGACTCCTGCAATCCCTCCCACCCCTCCTTGCTGTGCAAGGGCAGCGGTCTGGCCAGAGGACCCTGGGGATGTGGTGCCAGCACCCAGTGCGGCAGCACTGGGAGAGGATCACCTTCTTGCCACCACCCAGAGGACATCAGGACTTTCTCATTCCCTGTGCCCCGTCCACCTGGGGGAAGTTACCAGGTGTGTAACTTGATGTAACTTGCCTTTTTCCTTACTAACCAGTCCTGCAGACTGTATATAATCTCCAAAGTCTTGTCAGTGATGGTTTTACATTTCTCCCCAGTTCCTCTTATTGTCTGTTGCATTATGAAACACAGCGGAGACTCTTCTCAAAGTGATTTTGGCTGAGTCCTTGTCCAGACTGGCAATTTTATTTAGATCTGCTCTGCTTTGATCCCTGACTAGCCAAGCAGTCCTTGCTGACAGTGGAAGTGTTACTGTTGTTTGAATATAACAGAGCATAAACAGAAAAGTTGTCTAGTTATGGTTTTACCAGAAATACATTGACAGATTTGCATATCTATATTTGGGGGATATACTCAGTTTCCTTTCTGAGTAAATAAAGAACTCTAAGTTTGATCCTCTGTCTCACTCAAAAGCAGCATCAGAAGCTGGTGATATTGTACATGATGGGTTACATGGGCTCTAGTGAATACATACAAATGTGTAATTTGGAGCAACTGGTGTACATTAGTCATTTTTATTAAGGAAACTCTGCTTCAGAGCCTTATAGGAGATAGAAAGAACATGGAACACTTGAGTAAATTGAATTTCAATGTGGGGTTTTTTTGTGAAATGCTCATTATAACAACAGAGGTCAATGATTAATTTATTTTGTCTTTAGGATGATTATTCTGGTCTTATGATGATCTTACATTCACCACTGTCCCCTGATATTAAATATAATATTGTAATTATGGGGTTTAAATGGGTAGGGAATGGCTGAAAATGACCTGTGGTCTTCCCTTGCTTCTTTTTGATATTCTCAAAGTTTTCATGATGTTGATTTTTTACATTAGATAGTCAGGTCTTCGGTACTCTATGGCCAATTAGAGACTTGTTTCTAATATGCTATTGAACATACTTAGAAAGCAGCATTTCAATAGTGCAGAAGAGAGATCATTTATGTCCCAATTGCCTAAAGCTCTGTGTTTTTATTAAAGCAGATTTAACTCAAGCCTTTGGGGAAGCAGCTTGCAGTGCTAAAAGATAAGCGCTTTCCCATGTCAAAGTCCATATTGAATAAATTGAAACCTGAGGTACCTTGAAAGAAGGAGAGAGGGAAGACTCTGTGAGAAGCAGGGACGATCTTTGAAATCCTTCTAGCAATGGAAAGAAGTTGAACTCCAGCAAAAAGTAAAAAATGTTCAAAGCTGGGGATATACTTTGAAAAGTCAGGGCTTGTCAAAGTCAAGCTGCCTGACAGACTAACTCTTCCCTATGCTGGCTTGGACTCCTTTGTCCTGGAGCTCCCCGGTGTATTCACACTCCTGCCCGCTGGCATTCAATGTCAGAGCCTCATCTTCTCACAACTGCCCCTCCAGTTGCTTAAAACTGGCATAGGGGATGGCAGCATTCAGAGCACACAAAAAAGGGGTTTCCCCTGCTTTTTCGCTATGCCAGAAATGCCAGTGTTGTCACCAAAACCAGGAAGCATTTCAGGTGAACTAAGGTGGCCTTCTCCAGGATCATCCTTACATTGACAGGCCACAGATGGCAGACAGACTCTGACGTAAACAGCGATCCTTCTTTCTATTCCCAGTGCTGATAAGCTACAGAGGATGCAAACTGGATCTGGCCCAAGAGAGACCGTTTCTTCAATTGCACTGAGATTGCTGAAAGTCTGTTGGCAGAATCGGTTTTTGCTAGTGAGCGCTGCTTGCCTGGATCAGGTCTCCTGAGCCTGCATCCCTTCCCAAGGAATGTGGATGGAAACATTTCAGAACTATTCCATGCCAAAACAGTGGCTTTGTGAACTTTTCAACAGGAAAAGTCAGAAAGAAATGAGTGTGTCATATTGCATTATAATATAAGACAATGTTATTGTTGATAATACATCTATACATGGATGTATGCCTATATAGAGATGTATCTAGGTATGTCTACAGGGGAAGTTTAGATTGGATGTAAGGAAAAATTTCTTTACTGAAAGAGTGGTTAAACATTGGAACAGGCTGCCCAAGGAAGTGGTGGAGACCCCATCCCTGGAGGTATTTAAAAGACAAGTAGATGAGGTACTTAGGGACATGGCTTAGTGGGTGGTGGTGTTGGGTCGACGGTTGGACTCGATGATCTTAGAGGTCTTTTCCAACCTCAATGATTCTATGATTCTATGATTCTATGTCTATATGTAATTATAGTTATAGTACTCATGTTCTGCTGAAGTGTCTGGACGTGATCTAAACAGTGCCCCAATGATTCTTCTATGATTCTATGTCTATATGTAATTATAGTTATAGTACTCATGTTCTGCTGAAGTGTCTGGACGTGATCTAAACAGTGCCCTTGAACTGTCCTTTGCATCTCCCACCTGTCGGTCCGCATGTCCTGTTACTTGCAGGGTCTGCCCCAAGGGAGCTCCTTTTTCCCCTGGGCTTGCCATGTACTCTGGCGTGTTCCGCTACCCCGGGGAGGCAAATGTTCACCTCTTTCCATATTCTTTCCAGGACTAGGGGCTGTACCTGGGATGCCCCCATACCTCCATCTCTCCTGCTAGAGGAGCAAGTGGTCGCCCTCACACAGACTCCACTTGCTAAAGGTGGTGCAGTTGATGGGTCCTGAGCAGTCTCCCAGGCTGGGCCAGATGGGACTGTAAAGGGAGATGGAGAAGCCCTTTTGCTTAATATGCCCCCTTCATGAAACCACTGCGTTATCAACCCGAGTCAACGAACATTCCTGGCAATGGGATCAGCCCCAACAGTCCAACCCAGCAGCATAACTGACCCTAGCACTGATCCTACTAACAGTAAACCTCTTACCCTAGCGACCAGATGAGCCCTAACATAAACCAAGCAGGAGTACTGGTTATACATAAAAATACATATATGGATATATAAATATATATGGATATATAAATATATATATGGAAATATAAATATATATATGGATATATAAATACCAGCTAGAGTACTGGACCAAAAACCTACTGACACAGCCAAGTCACTTGACTGCACCTTAGCAGGAATTTTCCAATAAAACAGCTTCTCTGCTGAAAACCAAAAAGGCTGCTTTGACAACACTGAAACTGCTGGTACAAAAAACATATTTGGGGTGGTTTTTTTCAACCACTGTCTTCTGAGCTGGGAAATTTGCTGAAAAATTACTGAGAAGTCCTCATTTGCTTACATGTATGTATAAGTAAACAGTCCTAGACCTTTTATTTTGGATTGAAACAACTTTTTAAAGAAATCATTCATTAAAAACCATGTATTAGAAGTTGAAACTAAAGCAAAAGTTTTCAAATATCTCGAAATGTTTCCAGTAGTCCAAGATGGGTTATTACTTTGTGGTTTGTTGGGCTAAACATTGTTTTGGCTTTTTTTTTTCAGTGTTTGTTTTTTGGTTTTTTTGGGGGGGTGTTCGTCCAGTTTGGAATGAGGAAGAGATGTCACCATCACCAAAATGGCTATGTGAGGGGAAAACAGTTTCTGGTGCAGTCACAGACAACTGCTTCTAGCACCGGCTGCCACCGATGAGCCACTGTGGAGCTCCCTCTTGTGCTGGACTGTCCGTATCTCTGGATATGGCTGCCATGAGACCAGCTCTGTGCCGACGGTCTTGTTGTTAACACTGAGGGTGGGCTATTCCTGCTGCTAACTAACTGTGTTTTCAAGTGGTAGAGGAACGCGGTTGTAGTTTTATATCCTTCTGGGCATCCAAGACATGTTTAATGATGTGCAATATCTGCATCCCCGGAGCATACTAAGAGGGGTTATCTGATCGTGCTCAGTAGGACACTAACCACGTGGTTTACACTTGTCAATTTTTATGCTTCTCATCTGAAAAACCCAAACAACAGCCTGGTCCTTGAAAAGCTTCCAGCCACATTCACGCTGTGAGAGTGGCACTAATGTAAGAGCAATGGTATAGTCATACTGCGCTTGAAGCACTCCTTCAGGGGGCACAGCTTTGTCAGTAAAACTGAGCTTTGTACCATGGCAGTAAGACCACCCTGTAAATAAATCTGACTCAAGTGGTAAAACAAAGGTGTTATACATGTGACTGCATCTGTACTAAGGGCTTTTGCTGGAACAGCATTGTCAGCCAAGGTTGCGTACGCCTGATAGGGCTGAGGAGGAGGAAGCCTGTGATGCTCAGGGGCCATAGATAAAACCACACAGATCCCAATGCATGCTTTTTATTCTGGCTGATCCTAAATCCAACCCAAATCAAAGTAAACCCCCACTCACTCCTAATTCCCCCAAATTAATGCTCACATTTCCATGTATACACCGTTAACTAACTCAGCACACAGTAGACATCATCTCCCGTACCACACTGGGCTGTTTGAAGACTTTTCTGCCCCTCACTGCTTATTGCTGTCTCTGCCAGCAGAAGCACTTCACAAGGGCTTCCTGGTCCACCTGTAGCAAGCCCAAAATGCTCCCTCCTGCTGATAGAAATGTGAGGAGCTGAGCTCAGGAAGAGAAAGGGTCCCAGGCAGAGGGCAGGGGGAGAGGGTGAAGGAAGAGCAATGTGCTTAACGGGTGTCATCATTTACAAAAGAAACATCTGGCCAATGCAACTCCCTTCTGTGGCAG